CCCTACAAATCGCAACCAGGAATCAAAGTCCCGGCAGAAGGGCGCAAAGGTGCCAGATCCCTTCTCCTCCTGCAGTTACACGGCAATACAACAAGAGGACGCGAGCAGGGGGTTATTTCTTTGCGCGGCGCGGGCCAGCGCCGTCGGCGTGCTGCGACCCAGGGGTACGTCCCGGAACACGCTCCCGGGGCGCGCCTCTCATCCCTCCCGTTAGCAGGACGCGGCCGGCCTCACCTGAGCTGTGAGATCCGACCGAGTCAGGACGTGGAAGCGGAAGGCCGTGAAGCGCTTCTCCAGCTTCGCGCAGTCCACGTCGGAGCCCCGACGAGTTGTCAGGTTGGATTCGCGATGGAAGTTGACGTTGTTGAGGATCAGGCAGTGCCCGCACGGGTCCGCTTTCAGCTCGTAAACCTGGCAGGGACACGGCACAGTTACACACCCTCTTACTGGGAGCGCTCTCTGACTACTCCGGCGGGAACCGACGCCAACCCAACGACCCGAAACATCGGGAACCCCTTTACGGACAACGCGTGACTCGGTGCCTTTGGAAATCGAGCGCAAACTTTGGCTCTGTGTGATGTTATCTGTGTTACAGATAACTGTAATCTCAGGAAGGAGCAGGCCAACGACTGACCCGCTGCGAGCCCATCGCCCCGTTACACAGCGGCGTCAGCCTCGGGGAGATTGCTCGGATGACACACAGCAAGACCCAGCTGCTCCGGGGCTACTTCCCAGTAGCTCTGCATGAGCCTTTGCTTCACAGGGAACACCTCTGCCGTAACACAGTACTCACCGGATTGCGGTTCCCCTTGCCAACAGCTGAACCTACGACACACAACAGAGACACGGGATTTAGCTCCACGTGCTACACAACGAGACGTTTTACACCTTCCTCCTAGAATTCATGTCGGTCCTTCCCCATCTCACGTGACACGTCCATGACACATAAAAATTCCCCCTTCCCACACCGCCGCACGCCAGCAATGAGTGTTTGATGTAACATCTCTCCGGAAGAGCCTGAGACGGAGCTTACCGTGGGATGGGGCGGGAGGCGTTCGAGGTATTTCACTCTTGGCGTGGACCGGGGCAGGCGAACGTTCAGGAAAGTTCACGCCTGCAATGACACGGGACA